GGCCCAGATCACTAACCCAACAAATGAATCTCTGCTATGCTAATGGCATACGGACTGTGCATGCTTCTCTCTCAATAGCAGGCTTGCCATTTGCTGCATATGCTAGGAGGTTGTTTTTAAACCCAGATAAAGAATGCTAGTGGTGTGTTCTGAACACACCTCGGGATCACAGATGTCTCTGGGAGGTGTTTCTGAGCAGGCAGGCCCTTTCTGTTCTTACCAAGTTGTATCCTGGGGGGGGGGCACAACACACGGATGGGATAGGATTGGATCTCATCACCTGTCCTCCACCTATTCCCAACAGGTAGCTTAGCATTCAGGCATCAACTCTGGAATCCTACAGCTTGCATTCAAATCCAGGGACTAACATTTTCTAAAGATGGCTATCATATAAGGAGCTCAACTTCATCTCTGTGTCTCCATTTCCTGGTGTGTAAAAAAAATGGAAGAATACTGATTTCATGTCATCATTGCTGTGTTAGGTGCAATAAAACATACAAAGCACTCCAGAAAAGAGTGACTGGCACACAGAGAACCCCTAGTAAAAACTATCATCATCTTTGTCCATACCTACCTGCCTTTTTTGTTCTTCAGAGCAAACCTTCTGACCACGATCCCCCACTCCCAAGCAGGTGCTTGAGGGAACTAGGAGACAGAAGTTGGGACTCCAGCATGATAGCCATGCCTGCTCTCCTGGGCACAATGTTTATCAGACCCTATGATTTTCTTGCAAGTTGGAGCCAATGCCCAGGGCTGCCAAAATATATGAAGGGCCAGGGGCACTGGCAGGATCAGACTCCAGAAATCCTGGCTGTGTTTTTATGTAAATCTTTGAACATTTACCTTGAGGCTTCCAGGAGTTTGACATGTTCAGATGAGCATGGTGTACAAGGGTCAGGTACAGGCTGTCTCCATTGCTGGGTCTGGTCTTCACACTCTTTTTTTTTTTTTTTTTTGAGATTTATTTATCATATATACAGTGCATGCCAGAAGAGGGCACCAGATCACATTACAGATGGTTGTGAGCCACCATGTGGTTGCTGGGAATTGAACTCAGAACCTCTGGAAGAACAGTCAGTACTTTTAACCTCGGAGCCATCTCTCCAGCCCTGGTCTTCACACTCTTTAACCTGGTAAAGGCTCTACCCCCACACCCCCACCCCCGTGGAGTAGTTACACTCACCTTCGGTGTCAACTTACACTAATAGGCAAAATGGAACATGGCTTTAAGAACTTCATAAAGTAGAATTACCAGAGATTTTACAATCCAATTCCCAGGCTAAATTGCAAACCAAGTACAAGAGGACACATGCATTCTAAAGGGCAAATCTCAGACCTGATGTTATAGAGCTTCTTTTTTGTTGTTGTTTTTTGTTTTTCGAGACAGGGTTTCTCTGTGGCTCTGAAGGCTGTCCTGGAACTAGCTCTTGTAGTCCAGGCTGACCTCAACTCATAGAGATCCACCTGTCTCTGCCTCCTGAGTGCTGGGATTAGAGGCGTGTGCAAACACTGCCCTGCCTGGTGTTCTAGAGTTTCTTTGTTGTTTGTTTGTTTGTTTGTTTTTCAAGACAGGGTTTCTCTGTGTAGCTTTGGAGCCTATCCTGGCACTCGCTCTGGAGAGCGGGCTGGCCTCGAACTCACAGAGATCCGCCTGCCTCTGCCTCCCTAGTGCTGGGATTAAAGGCCTGCATCACTAACATCCTGCATGTTCTAGAGTTTCTTAAGCTACAATCTTTATACAGTCTCTTTGATGGATTGTTAAAATGTGTTATATAATTCTGGAGCTTTGGGAGCTGTCTTCCTTTTTAAATTATGTTTATTTATTATAATCGTGTGTCTGTGCACTGCGTGCGCAAATGCACATGAAAGTCAGACGAGAATTTTCAGGAGTTGGCTCTCTCTTTCCACAGTGAGTTGTGGGGATCAAACTCGAATTGCCAGGCTTGGCAGCCAGTACCTTTACTTACCAAGCCATCTTACTGGTCCAAAACTGTGGTTCTCAAACTTGAGAATGGATTAGAGTTATCTTCAGGGTTTGTTACAATGCCTTCCAGCTATAACTTTGGTAGATATTGTAAAGCATTTCTAACCAACTCCCAGGGGGTGGTGGCTGCTGGTACATGGAGCACACTTTGAGGTAAGGCAGCCTGGGGCCCCTTTGCTGGCTTAACTCAGCTCTAATTCTGTGCTCCTGGCAGATCACTTAAACTTAGGTCATTCCTTTATCTGTAAAGTGGGTATTGGGCAAGATCAACTCCACCCATGAAACACCCGATTGACAGCCTGGAGCCCTGGATCTGACTTGACTGCAAACTTGAACCTCTTTGGGCACGTTGACAACAAAACCCATAGTTGTTTATTTCATTGGTCTGGAGTACTGAGTATAGGAATTTTGAAAAAGCATCTGAGGAGTAGTAGCCTAACACCAAGGCTCCCAAACTCCCGTGTGTATTAGGAACCACAGATTGCCTGGTTACACAGCCTTAACTTCTGATGCAGAAGGTCTGGAATGGAGCATTTAAATTTAAATTTTTAACTTAAAAGTATGCACACATGTGAGAAAGATGAAAGTGAGCATCAGATCCACTGGTGCTAGAGTTACAGGCAGTTTGGAGTTGCCTGGTGTAGGTGCTGGCAATTGAACTTGGTTCTTATACTGGAACAGTGTGTGCTTAGCCACTCTGCCTGCTCAATAGCCCTGAGAACAATCAATTCTATAAGCTCACGGGTAGTTCTACAGCTTCCCTTCAGTACTGCATAGCTCTAGAATATTGCTGAATAACTGACCTAAGTTGTTCTTAGTTTGCCTAGTATATCATGCTAGCTGTCTCGGGGATGCCACCATACCAGCCTGCCTGTATCTACTAGGGTCAAGGGGGACCCTGATGGACGGGCATGGGGGACAGTTGTTTTTATCCTAGCATGGAAAAGTGAAATTGAGGGAAAGAGGGACACCCTTGGCGGGATGATCCTGAGCCTAGAACAAGAAAGACGAGTTGTCAAATGCCACAAGGAAGCTTTTGGCTCCACACAAGGAAGAAATTGTAACCTTGAGAATTGCCTGCTCTCAAGGGGGCATCTGTTTCCTCTTTTAGTAGCCGGCCCGTCCCTGTCTTGTGTAAGGGTAAAAGGGAGTCCAGCTGATTTGGGGGCCCAGGAAGTTGAGGTACTTCTAGAGGAAGATGGTTGTGGTCCCTCGGAACCTCTGGTCGGCCTTCGTCATCGTTAATCCAGAAGCTTTGTGTTTAATGCAGGGAGACACAGAGTGGCGCTTTCCCAACAGGCTGGGTTTCTCAACCCTGTTTTCTTGCCTATGAGCAAGCGGTTTTTTGCGTGGCAAAGAGGAAGGAAAGAGCGGCGCTAGACAAAGCCAGCAGGTCGCACAGGCAGCAGGTGTCACCTCCTAAGGCGGTGTGCAGGCTGCCTGAGTCCTATGGACCCTAGAAACAACCCGGAGGGTTAACCCGGGCGGGGTAGGGGCGGGAGTGGGGGGAGTAAGGCAGGTGGCCCAAGGATTTGGCACTTCTCCAGAGGCCAAACTCTATCCCCTGCGGAGGGAAAAAGAGGGAGGGTCCAGCCCACACCGCCAGCCACATCAGAGCACCAAGAGAACACCAAGTCTTTATTACCGGAATTCCTATGAAACAGCTCCAAGGGAAAAAAAAACCACACACATGAGGGAAAAAATAACAAAGTGACAACACAGACTTAGAGCTTTCCCTTCGCGCGCTGGCCCTGACGCACGGAAGGCCCAGACGCGTCTGGAGCACAGACTAGCCGCCCCAGGCTCATGGGGGGTTGGGGGAGGTGGGGAGCTGTCCTTTTCTCTAGGGGGTCACAGGACTGGCTGGGTGCCAGCATGGTCCCTCACCCCCACCCTGCACGGTGCGCGTTTCCAAACTTGGTCACCGCTCTCTTGAGCCCGGGGATGCACGACCAGCAGGAGTTGAGGCGATTGCGGTCCCATTTCCACCACGCTCCCATTTCCTTTCAGTCCCTAGCATCCCCCATCACCCAAGCATCGGATCCCACTCTCAACCAGCCCCCCCCCGCCCCCGCGCTTGCCCAGGCTTCTCATCTCTCTCTAAAGGTCAGCAAGTTCCCAGATCAAGGACCGAGTGGGCCACAATCGCGGCCTCCATCCCCTTAGCAGAGGTTGGTGCCGGCTGAGCGGTCCTAGAATCGCCTCAGTTCTTCAAATCACCTCTGGGGCTCCACCTGGGGCACCCGGCAAGTTCCTGCCCTAGGTGCTCCCCTCCCGCAGCGCCCTGCCCCAGGCTGGTAGCCTCTGCAACTTGCACTTCAGCCCGGCACCTTCTCAGTTGGGGTCACCCTCACCCCGAAACTCCAGCACCTTCCTGCCTTACAAAACAGCAGGACCAGTCCAGCCCCTGAAGGGCCCTACTGTGATGTAAATCAAGAACCAGCTTCGGCCTTCAGCCAAACTAAAGACCAGGCTTAAAGAGAATCCTCCAGCTCCGGGGTCACCCTCCCCATCCCTGCTGGGTCATGATGAGGCTGCTGGAGGTAACAGCCAGCCCTTAATAGAAGCAGCCCTGTGAGGTGGACCCGGCAAGACCACAGTGTCCAGAGTTCCGTGCAGGTCGGGGCCAAGAGTCAGCAGTTCCGGCCAAGGCTGAGATGTGGGAGGTCTTTGCAAAGAAAGGCCACAGGGGCGGGGGATGGAATAGATCAAGCCCGCTGTGGCAGGAGAGATGGGAAAGAGAAGGCGGAAAGCCCTTGTTCAGGGCCAAAGAGCCCCCCATGGGTCATTTTGCCAGTTCTCTAACTGCAACCTTGGTGCTTCCTGGGATCTTTCTTTACGTCGTCGTCGTCTGTTCCTCCCTCCCTCCCTCCCTCTCTCTCCCTCTCTCTCTCTCCCTCCCCCCCCTCTCTCTCTCTCTCAATCTCTCTCTCTCCTATCTCTCCTCTCTTTCCCTCTCTCTCTCTCTCCCTCTCTCTCTCTCTCTCTCTCTCTCTCTCTCAATCTCTCTCTCCTATCTCTCGCTCAATCTCTCTCTCTCTCTCTCTCTCTCTCTCTCTCTCTCTCTCTCAATCTCTCTCTCTCTCAATCTCTCGGTGGTTCCTGTCCAAGTCCCTCCTCCAATCACAGGCAACTCTGAAAGTTCCATAAGTCCTGTGGAAAGTGGCAGTGGCTGGGCTGGACTGTGGCCGAAGAAGCCTGGGCTGTGGTATGCAAGCACCTTCTCTCTCAGCTGCAGCTGGAGAGCCCTGGTGTTTCTCTCTGGTTGCCTCCACCGGTCAGAGCATCTCTGGCAAGGCGACGCTGCTGCTGGCACCTGGGAGTAGGGGAAATGTGTGACATTTTCATCACAAGAGCCTCCTGGTCTTTCCCTGTCACTGGTTCCTGGAGAATACGAGGCTCCTCCTCCTCACTCCAGTGGTTCTAGATCATCCTGGAACTCTGCTTCGGACCACACCCACTGCTCAACCACAGGATCCTAGCATGGACTAGGAGAACGAGGTGGGAAGGAAGCTCTGTGTGGAAGGCCTTACAGGTGGGAGGCTGCTCCACCCATTCTGTGTCCCGTTAGTAGCTGAGTGGAGGGGCTACACTAAGAGGACCAGATGGGCCAGAAAAGTAATCCCAGGCTAGACTTTGGTGAGCCCCAGACACCAGGCTGAGTTCATAAGACTTTTGCTCAAGAGACCCACAAGAACAGCAAGGGACCACCGTGATATTTGGTGATGGTACTGATAGGCGGGGCAATGAAGACTGGAGAGAGAAATCTGTCAAGGCTGTGATGAGAAAAGCTAGGAGGAGGAAGGGAGCAGGGAGGAGAGAATGGCTTGCAGTGAACTGATGGGATGCACTGTAGAGCCCACAGGGTGCAGCAGGGACTCAAGAACAGCTACTGCGGAAGAGGACAACTGGGCCCCTAGAGCAGGAAGGGAGGACTGAAGAGTCAAGGGCGGAGCCTATTGTATTGAGGGAGAGGGAGGAAAATCGTTGCACATGGAAGGGAGCACCAGAATGCACAATAGGGAGCACCAGAATGCACAATAGGCCCTGAACCACGGGCGACCTTCTGGGTTCGGTCCCTTCCTGAAGGCCCCCACTTTGCAGTAGATGCAGGAGGATCTTGGTTTTTACAGTAGGGAGCTGAGGGGGAAAAAGCTGGAAGACTCAAAAGTGATGAGCAAGTCCTGAGATAGGGTGGTTTTGGGTGGCACTCCTTTCTCCTGGGGACCAGTGGGATGGAGGAAGGGGTAGCAGTGGGGGTGTTTCCTTAGCTCACCTTACATGGGTACCCCAGAAAAGTAGGAAGCTGGGGTGCCGCTCTGTGGGTGAGGAAAGCCTAGGAATCATGTAGAGAGCTGAAAAGAGGGACGGGTGACAAGAGGGGAGTGTGTGTAGTACCTGCCTTTGCTGGCTTGCCCTCTGTGGTCTGGGTTATCTTACTGCCGCAGCTACCATAAGAGGGGCATCTGTTCCTCCCTGGTTGGAAACAGGGCCAGACAAGGCACACAACAGCTCAAGAAAGCCTAGTAGATGCTGAGCCCTGGGAACAGAACAGCAGCTGGGCAAGCAAAGCAGGTGGGTGGGCAGGCAGCTAGCTCCTCATTGGGGGGTGAGGCACCAGAAGAGGGACAGTCATGCCTGGTTTCTGCAGGAGATGCTGGCACTTTCCATGTACACCCCCCCCCCCAGAGGAGTAGACAGGGAGGTAGGAGGAAAGACGGGCCAGCCCTGAGGCTCCAGACAGAAGCAGCCATTCCCAGAGCTATTTCCAGATCCCTGACCATCCAACCTAAGCAGGGGACTGAGCACAATTCTGCATGTGCATGACCACAGTGTTTCTTGTACTACCCTCTTAATATTCATTGGCTGTCCTGGAATGTCTTTTCAATGGGGCTGCAAATCATTCAAGGTCAAAACTGATTTTTGGTTTTCCTGTTCAGGGCATCTGTGATGATGAGGAGGAGGACAATGACAGCGATGATGATTCAGGCAGGTGTGGGAGAGTTTGTCATTATTGTTTGTCAAATGAATAGTCAAATTCTTTGTTGTTATTGTTTTTGAGACAGGGTTTCTCTGTGTAGCCCTAGCTGTCCTGGAACTCACTTTGTAGACCAGGCTGGCTTTGAACCTACAGACAGCTGCCTGCTTCTGCCTCCCAAATGCTGGGATCAAAGGCATGCGCCACCACCACCTGGCAATAACTAAATTCTTGAAAGCACAAAAGCCAGGTCTTATGCAGAAAGTCTGTAATCCTAGCCCTTGGGAAGTGGAGACAGAAGGATCTGAAGTTCAAAGCCAGCCTCATCTTCATAGCCAGTGTATTCAAGGGTAGTGGGGTTACAAAAAACTGAATTAAAAGTATATATATATATGGGCTGGAGAGGTGGCTTAGTGGTTGAGAGTACCGGTTGTTCTCCCAGAGCACCCAGGTTCAATTCCCAGTGCCCACATGGCAGCTCACAACTGTCTAACTCCAAGATCTGAAACTCTCCCACAGACATACATGCAGGCAAAACACCAATGCACTATATATATGTTTGCAGGGGGAAACCATGTGCAATGTCACAAGAGAAGCCAGGATCAGTGTTACTGTGATGTCACAGCCCAGCACCTCTGGATCCTTGGGAGGACACATGGTGGGTGGTGGACTTTTGCCCAAGCTGTTCCTGGAAGCAGTGTCCCTAAGCCTTACCTCTTACTGTCCTTCTCTTAGGGCCTCTTCCACCTTAGGCACCTCCTGCCGCCTTCCCCGGAAATCTTCATCTGAAAGGCAAAGGGAAGCTTTTCCACCCTGCAGAACATCACTTGGGCCTGTCCCTAGGAGGGGCAGGGGAGCTGCCTCAACTGTCCTTTGCTTGGGACCTGATGCCCAGGCAGCAGTATGTGGGTGTGGTGACAGAGGCAAAAGGCAACCAGGTACTGTCTTAACTTTACCACCAGGCTCTGTCTGAGGCCTTGGACAAGTCTTACCCTTTGTTTGGTCCCCAGTTTTCTCATCTGTCAAATGGGATAGGGATGATGGATCACCCAGAAGACTCTAAGGCCTTCTAATCTTTGTATCTGGTGTCTCCTTTTTCTTTTTTAACTTTTTTTTTTTTTTGAGGTAGGGTTTCTCTACAGCCCTGGCTGTCCTGGAACTCACTCTGTAGACCAAGATGGCACTGAACTCTCAGAAACCCGCTTGCCTCTGTCCCTTGAACTAAAGGTGTGTGCCGCCATCACCACCTTGCTAAACTGAAGCTTCCTGACTTGTGGTTGTCCGTGTATGAGGCCGGCCTGCCTGTCCCTCATTCCCTAGAGAACACTCTCTAGGAACAGTGCCTGGCATGCTGGGCACCCCTTTAGGGATGACAGGAAGGGAGTGGCATTGTGTGCATCACATAGCAAGGGTCCACATCTCTGTGAGCTACCTGCCTGCCAACCCTCGACATGTCCCCCAGACTGAGTGTTCCCGTGCTGAACATTGAGCTCAAGAATCCCTGCCCTGCCTCACCATAAGCATGGCCCTCCACGTCGTCCAGGAGGTTGGCTGTTGATGCAGCAGCTCCCAGTCTGCCGTGCTGTTCAGGGAAACTACCCCAGAGACAAATGGGAACTGTCACAGTTTATCCAGTCTGCCTGTGTTCTATCCTGCCAATCCTCCAGCCTCAAGAGGCTTCTATCATCCCTTCAGTCTGCAAGCTGCCTAACACTGCCCCTTCTAGGCCCCTCCCCTGGGATCAACCAAGCAGCTAGTCAGGCCCCACCCCCTTACTCTGCCCCCATCTCTAGGGACAGAGAGAGAGAGACATTCTCCCTGCTCCACTTTGGCTACTCAACATTGAATATCCTGGGCCCCCTTGGCTAAGCACAGATGGGATGGGAACTAGGCTTTGAAGAGAGGGAGACATCTTTTCACTGGAAGAACCAAAAGTGAGAAACCAGGCCTCCCGAGACAAGGCTGCAGGGGACCTGGGAGCCAGTTCAACCAGCAAAATTAGGGAACAATTTGCTGATTTCAACGGGAAGACCACTTTTTCTCCCCAAACGCAGATAGCTTGAGGTCAAAAGCAAAGAAGTCACAGGAAGCATAGGAAGAACAGTGTCCAAGGAGATGCCAATGGGTGTACTGGTTTGCAAAGCAAGCAAGGGAGACCACAGAGCCAGATCCCAAGGAAGGTCCAGTTTCAGGGGGTCCAGCTGGGATCTCCATCACTGTTCCTAGCCCTCACCACCCCAACCTAGTGCCAAGCAGAAGGATACGACTGAAGCTTCGGCAAGTGTCTCCTCTTTGACTTCCTCATTTTGGTCTTCTCAGAGAAGGCTCGGGCGAGTTCAAACAGCTTCCTACGAGTGGCTGGGACAGAGAGACTTGTAAGCCCTTCATGCTCCGGACAGCCAGAGCATCAGGTGGCTTCCCTCCAGGTTTGGGGGCAGCCAGGGTAGCACCAGGCCCCTTGGGCGGGGACTGGGAAGAGGAAAGTGACAGGAATTGCAGACACCAGTGGCACCTAGGAAGCAAGTGTGCCATCCCAGGTCAGCCTCCAGGGGCAGCACAGGCCATCACTAGCCAAGTACACAGCCTGTCTCCAGTCCAAGATCCGGATACTCCTTCCCGAGAGGCGAGAGCCACAGATCTTGGCTTTCTTTCCTGCCCCTCCCCAGCCACCTCCACAGTTGGTCCTAGGATTTCCATGACTCATCGGAAATTTTCCCTGAAATAAAACCTTGAAAGGATCCCAGCCTCATTCCCACTGGTTATGGGTCTGTGAAATTGGAAAGGGGAGAATGACAAGAAGTGGACAGCAAGAAGAGGTCCCCTGCCCCAAAATGTGTCCCATTCCCACAGAAAGTGGACCCAGCTAGAGCCTCGTGTCTCGGCTAAGCCCTCACGTCACAGAGAATGTGAACACCGACACGCATTATTTTTCTTGGGACAGCTGGCTGGCTCAAGAGGATTTAAACTTAATTTGTCTCCAGACTCAGCTGCAGAATAAAGTAAGGCAGGAAGGCTGAGGGAGCTAGCTTGTGATTAAAATGTCACCCGAGTTCACCAAGAGTCAAAAGGGTTAAAAATCCTCAAGAGTGGGGGTTCCCCCTCTCTCATGAGGCCACAGGTCCTGCCTCAGGAGAGCTGGGACAGGGAGGTGACAAGAGCAGGACTCACATTTTCCCATGTGTTTCAACTTGTCCCTGAATAAGGCATCTTCTGACACAGTGGGGTTGGTGTCACTGGTTCCTGGAAGGAGGAGACATCTGCTGAGGGACCAGGCCCATTGGGTCTCTGAGGTCCCAGTAAGAGAGAGAGAACACGGGCAGCTGCCATGGCCCCAGGGAAGTAGATGAGATGGCGCCCCTCCATGGTTATTAGGTCTGTCCTTACAGCAGACCTAACTTCTTCCCTGACCTGACAGCAGACCTGCTTCTTCCCTGACCACGGGAAATTTAAGCCAAGCTGCAAGAGTACTTCTCCCTTGCAAGATGCATTTCCCTCTTCTGAGCCAATGGGGGCAGTCTTAAGAGCTGCTGCACCGGTGGGAAGCCGGCTGGCACGAAGTTTCAACTTCTGTGAACAATCCCATATTCTCAAAGTCATGCTGGTAGTTTGCAACGAGCTGGGTGGGGAGATTTACATCGTGGAAATCCCTAGAGACTGCACCCACAGCAGAGCAGACTGTTAACCATTTGCCAGCACATCACGGCCCTCAGTGCATCCCAGCTCCGGTGAATAGAAGCAGAAAGGACACAGAGCCAAGAATGCTGGGGCGACCTTGTCCTCCTTCCAGGTTCAGCCCCTCTGTTCTTTCCTCCCGGATGTTGAACGGGAATGAGAGCAGGGCTCAGCCAAGAGTCAGAACCTAGTGAGCCACCTGGAGGGAGCCTCCTAACTCATTCACTCCTCACTGTGTGGATCTGTCACTGCCCTTCATCCACCGCTCAACACCCTGTATCACCTTGCCTGCTAGGCTCCCTTTGAGTCACTCTGACCCAGCTCAGCAACCCCAGTGTCCCTCATTAATTTGGGATCAAGGACATGAAGCTCTGTGAAAACTCCCAGATGAGCATCTGGTAGGGCCTAAGCTCCTGGCCTCTTGCTTATGAATCAGTTCTACAGGATTTTCTCTCTCTGAGCTGGGATTAATGGGGAGCCTTACCCTTCTGCCTCTGCCTTCCCAGCTCAGCTCTAGGATGGAGACTCTGCTCCTAGAAAAACTGCTGAGCCTTTTTGTATATGTACAGGGGTGAGGGCAGAAACAGGACAGGGATCCAGAGTCCAGGGGCCAAGTACAAAAGCAAGGCCTCTGTTCACACTCCCAACCTCAGCTCAGCTATAGTCTGGGCATCCTAGCAGTCCTCTTGCTCAGCCTCTGGTCTCTCAGCCCCACTGCTGCTGGCACTGGAGGGAAGTCAAGAAATGAGCTGGGGGGCAGTTATATTAGGGACTGTAAACTGGGATTCTCTGGCCCTCCTGAGGCAGTGCTGAACCACCTAGCATTCAATGCTCAGAACTTATTTTTCCTTGCCTATGGCAGGGCATGGCTCTGGGCAGGTAGGTAGTCCTCAGCTACTTAAGTGAATGAATGAGCCCTTCCCAGACTAATTTCACCATCTTCCTCTCTACGCACTGGATACAGTCAATTTGTGTGTCTGGCCTTTGCCGGTTTGCTATTAGACATGAAGCGTCATTGGACCAAACCTCCCCAGACTCTGAGGCCTTCCTACTCTCAGTTGCTATTAAGGGACATTACGTGGTTCAGTGTGTCCTCTGGTAGCCCAAGATCCAGAAATAGTCGGGAGGTCAGCCAGCCTGTGGTAACAGCGTGAACTGAGGGCAACTCACTGAAGGGGGCATCTCGCCCCACAGGCCTCCTTTCTGGCCTGCTGAGGGGCCTCATCTTCCCACCCTTGGTTTTTTCCTCATCGTACCCCTCTCAAAACTCTCAAAATTGAAGATAAAGTTGGAGTGTGGGCCCACGAGCCCATCAGTTTCTCTCTCAGGAGAGCATGTTTACCTGGGACAGAGGAGGGAAGGCCTAAGTCATTTCCGGCAGCCACATTGCTGGATTTGGATTTCTGGGATTCATACTTCAATCGATCTGGAAAAGGAGATGGTTTCTATCAGAGAAGTGAGCTCCAGGGGACCTGGGGAGCTTGTGGGAGGCTGTACCCCCTGAAACACACATAAGTACATGCATGCACACAAGAGTGTCTGCCAGCTCTTGAAGAACTTGTGATCATAGAAACGACTGCCTAATGAGCATCTGCAATGTTAGAGTCTCAGAACTAGCAGCTCCCGGAGAGTCCAAGCCTACTTTATTCTATTGTTTTAGGGTTTTAATATGGAACCTAGGCTCTCTTGGAACTCACAGCTCTCCTGTCTCAGCCTCCTTAATGTGGGGTTGCCAGTATGCAGCTGCATGACCAGCCGAGCCTTTTGTGCCTCCTGTGGCCTGCTCCCTCCATCCTGACACCCTGGCAGTGCCATTTGCTCTGTCTTTTCCAAACACATCAGACTCCCTCTCTACCCTCCTCCTTCCCTCCCTCTGTGACCTTTATGAGACCACCTCTGCAGCCCTGTCTCCAAACCCTATCTCAAGGAAAGACATCCAGGGGGGGGGAGCAGAGTAACCCATCCATAGATGTTGCAAATACCCTGCTCTAACCTCTTCCATTCAGGAAGCCTCCCACTCTGGAACCAGCTACCTTGTTACCAGGGTTCAAGACATGGTACCTCTGCCTTGTGGCTAGAGGTTGGTGGGAAAGGCAGCATTCCTTCCTGTCATCCAAGCCAAGGCTAATGTAGGACAGAGGAGAAGACCTAGTGGGCACATCCCTCTTCCTCTGAGTTCCCAAGTGTTCCCAAACCCCCACTGGCTGAATCCCGGGGCTCCTGTATGACTCAGGAGGGCTATGCTCATGCAGGTCAGAAAGCATCTGGCATGTTGGCCTCCAGCACAACCCCCTCCTGAGGCCTGAAGCCACTGCCCATATCGTTCTCTTCTTTTGTGGTGAGGCGTGGTGCCCACCTCTCTCCAGAGCGAGGAGAAAGTCACGGTTGCGCTGCAGCTCCTTCATGAACTCTTCGTTCTGCAGGAAGAGGGCAATTCTCTCATCCTCCAGGTACTGCTTCCAGCGGCTGTCCTGGTCACAGGCACCAGATCCTGGCACTGGAGCTGGGCCTCTCTCTCCACCCATAGGCTTGGAGCCCCCGGGGTGACCCTGAGGAAGAGTGAGCATACAGATCACCTACTTAAATCCATGTACACCTGTCTACACATGTGTGCTTTCCCAGAATCCTCCAGCCCCATCCTGTAGTCCCATCCTCCTAACAGGGCCCAATCATTGGCCCAAATTCACTGGAACAACTCAGAACCGTCTCCTCAGGAAAATCAGGGAAGACATCAAAAAGGCTTTTCCTCCCAACCTCGGGCCACCTCATTCCATCTTCTGGAACCTAAATTCTGAAAAGCAGTTTGCAAACAGCTGAACCACCTGTCCATGGACTACCTAGTCCCACACTTCTTTCATCAGTCGCATGCCCCACCAGCAGGGGCACCTTGGAGTATGACACCATTTGAAAGAAGCTTCCAGGAGAGGACGGAGCAGCCCTGAACCCCACCATTAGTTACCCCATTTCCCTCCCTCCAGCCTGAGGTGATGACTGTAGCCAGAGAGCATTCTCTGGCAGCCACTTTCCCTGGGCCCAGCAGGAACCATAGGGCCAGATGAGAAGCAAGGCCGAGGGTTCATCACTGTTTCCTTATAAACTCTATTCAACAGTTCAACCTGGACTCAGAAACCAAGGAGCAAACCTGGCTGGCACTGAGTGTGTGGCCCAGATAAGACGCTGGACAGGCAGGCAGGCATGGACGCTTGAGGGCAGCCAGTTACCTGAATGCTCTCCATCTGCTGGGGCAGGATTCGGAGAAAATCATCAGGAAGGTTGCCCAGCAGGGGTGGGTTCCAGTTCCTATAGCGACTCTGGCTTGCAGGTTGTCCAGAGCCCAGGACATCAATCCTGGGGGTAGGGAGGTAAGGAGAGCAGGGAGCAGTCAGGCCTAGCCACAGCTCTGCTGGCCTGTCACAGGTCCTCAGGTAGACGGTGATCTTATTCAGAGCATCCTGGGCCCACACTGCCTTCAGACAAAGGTACAGATATGTATTCTGCTGCATGAGGGAGGGAAACGGCACACCAAGAAGGAAGGCAACCAGGCCCGGAGCAGTGGAGACCTCTTCCTCTCCTCAGTCAGCTCCTTGGTTGCTCCTCAGCCTTGGCCTTGGGCTGCTTTCCTGTCACTCAGTGCCTCTGGTACAAATGTCAGTGTTGTGGATTCAGATCCAAACTTTATGAATGTCCCCTACATCGGGACATAGGCTTCTGTGCCTGTGTCCCTAACAGCTGGCACAGTACTGGATTGTTAAATAGCAGATATTGCCCCCACCCCACGAGTAGCTTGTCAACAGCCCATCCTGTCCTTGGTTTGTTGGGGGAAGGGAGCTCCCAAGATTCCTGGACAATAAAGCAGATCTGAGTTCCCATTCTCAGCTACAGCCAGCAATGGGTGGGGAACACTGGGAAGACCCTGTTCAGGCCCCTGGTGCTTCCTTACCAAATCTAGACCCTGCTGACCTGCTTCCAAGGTAATGGGTGTCCCCTATCCCCCATGAGCTGTCTTGAACTGCTGGAGGCCAAGGTTAGATTGCTGTTTCCAAGGCCTCTTCTCAAGCAAGTTGTGCCTGCGCCAGGTGGCCAGGACTGGAGAGGAAGAAGGGCCTGGCTACCCTGACCTCAAGCCCCATCTCCAAGCCCAGGCCTGAAGGAAGCCTGGAGCTGGGCCAGGAACTCCACAGCTCCTCAGCAGCCTGCTGCGTGGCAACCGCAGGACACGTGTCCTGCTGAATCAGGGAAACGACACATGGAGAAGGCAGGCAGGCGGCTGGGGGTGGTGGGGGCCACACTGGGCTCAGCCTGGCTTTGATTTGGCCTCCTGCTTCAGGAATCCCTCCGCCCCCTCACTGGAGGGGAGCTTTTCCGTCTGCTGCTAACTTGTGGAAACAACTTCCTTTCCTTTTCTATTTTGGGCTGGTGGCCCAGTGGGTATGAGGGGAGGGCGGGGGCAGCAGCAGACGGATAACCAGCTGCTAAGTGCTAGGGGGAGCTCGACTGGCAGCTTGGAGACATACAGGGATCCCCAGAGAGGCGCCTGCAGGGGAACCCAGGACACGCATTCCCAGGCCAGGTTTCCTTTACTATGCTCTGCCACTTATGTCCCTGTCCCAAGTTTTGTTTTTTCTCCCAAGGCCCATCTGTCAGTCCCACAGACACCACTTCCAGCCACAATGGGAGAATATCCAGGCTTCATTTGGGGTGAAGTCAACACCCCAACTCAGTCACACTTGGAAGCCACCCAGGATGGCTGCAGAGGGCGAGTCCAAACTCTGACCAAGACCCTCTCACCATTGTGTTTCTTGGATGCCCATGGGATGGGAACTGATGTGGGGAGAACTCCTTTTCCTCTGGGGTTTCCCTGACTTTAGGGCAAGGGTCCTGGAGAGAGGACCCAGCTCAACCTTCTCCAAGCCCTGGGATGAAGTCACTCTCAGCTGCAGGGGGCCGGCCCGCTGAGGCAGCCCAACAACTCCATTGTGGTTAGAAAGGAATGTCAAAAATGAGCTTTGAGGCAAAGCTTCCAAGGCTGCAATTTCAACACAAAACAGCAGGTGGCCTGTGTGGAGGGGGTCTCCTAGGGTTCTGAGACTCAGGCAGATTAAGGGAAGGACTAAGCATGGGGGGGGGCGGGAGAACAACCTGCACACTTACCCACCGAATGTTGGACCAGGATGGGAAGGATTTCAGGGATGGGCCCTCCCAGAAGTTTTTGTTTGTTTGGGTTTTTGGAGACAGGGGTTTGTCTGTGTAGCTCTGGCTGTCCAGGCACTTGCTTTGTAGACCAGGCTGGCCTCGAACTCACAGAAATCCACCTGCCTTTGGCACCCAAGTGCTGCGGTTAAAGGCATGTGTGACACTCTGGAAGGGCAGTGGTAGCATACTCATTTAATCCCAGCACTCAGGAGCCAGAGACAGGCAGATCTCGAGTTCGAGGCCAGCCTGGTGTCCTGAGCACTCCAAAGCTCTCTAGAAACTCTTCGGGAAAACAAAAACAAACAAACAAACAAAAGCATGCTCCACCACCACCGCTCCAGAAGGGTTTTTAAGTACAGTCTGGACATGCAGTCCAACTCTGCCCTATCACCAGGCTCATCCCAGAGACATAGTGACAGAAGGGGACCAGACCACTACTCCCTCTCAAATCTCTAACCTTCAGCAGCCAAAGATTTTTTGAATATGAGCCTACCAGAGCCCTGCTGTAGTGCGGCCTCACAGAGTCTCCTGTAGTCTCAGGGAAAGGTTCCACAGGGCCCCATGGCCTGTGTTCCTCTCCACTCATGCATTTTCCTTCTAGGAGCTTCCCTGGGATGGTCCCCTCTCCCTGCCTCCAGGCCTTTGCACACGCCATTTCCTCTGCCTGGAACATATTCATGCCCTCAGTTGCACTACACTAATGCTAAGATATATGAACTTAAGGCCATGTCTTGGAGAGCAGCTTTTTCTGAGACCCCATGTTTGTGGATCCCCTAAATTCTGTTCTACAGAGGAGGGGCCCAGAAGACAAGCAATGCAACACACACACACACACACACACACACACAAATAAATAAATAAATGCAATTGAAAGTATTTAAGTATTTTGGAATAAATGTTAAAGTTTGGGCCTGCAGTGTCCCCCACAGACTTGTATGTTTGAAAACCAAAGCAGCTGGTGGCACTGCTTTGGTAAGTTATAGGCTCCTTACAGGTGGGCTCTAGATGGCAGAAGCAGATCACTAGGAGCAGGCTGGGAAGGTTGCACCTGCCTCTGGCTCTGGGCCAGTTCTCTCTGCTTCCTGATGCCTGGTGATGTGAAGACCTACAGCCCTCCCCTCTCTTGCTGGCAGGATTGCTCTTCTACACTTTCCCTGCCATCATGGGCTAAAATCCCTCTCAGACCGTGAGCCAAAATAAATCTTCCCTCTCTCAACTTCTTCAAGGGTTTTGCCACAGCAACACACATGAAATACAGGCCACTAAAAACAACAACAAAACAGAAATCAAAGGAAAACCATTGACCCCTGAGCTCGGTAGGCGGCCACAGGTGTGACCTCCGGGGTCAGTCTCACCCAGGTGTCCCACCTCCCCGCCTGCATCCCATGTACCACGGTGATAGGTCCCAGCTCTCTCTTGTCCCTGACTCAATAGATGACCTCTGTCCTGCCCAGCTAACCTTCCAGAGTCTCTGCTCCCTACAATACAGCTGATTTCTTGAAGGGAGGTGATGACACAGCAATGAAGTCAGATAACCTGGGTTCACAGCCCAGCTCTTAGTCTTGGGGACAGCAGTGAACCTCTCTGAGGCTCAGCATTTTATTCTGTGAAATGGGTGACTGCAGTGCTTTTTTGTTTTTGTTTTTCGAGACAGGGTTTCTCTGTGTAGCTTTGGAGCCTGTCCTGGCACTCGCTCTATAGACCAGGCTGGCCTCGAAGTCACTGAGATCTGCCTGCCTCTGCCTCCCAAGTGCTGGGGTTAAAGGTGTGTGCCACCAACACGTGGCGACCACAGTGCTTTCTACTTAGGTCATTGGGTAAAGAACCACAGCAGCCTCTGGCATTTAAAGGGTACTTGGGGAATGGCAGCTGTTCTTACTGGCTTTCTAAGTTCCCCACTACCACTGTTCTGGGGTTCCTAAGATGCTAGAATGGGGGATCACTACAGCAGGTCCCCATTGTATCACCCCCTCCCACCCGGTCTGTCATTCTAAGAAACAGCAGCTTCCAGGACAAAGTGACACACCTAGATTCTGCAGCCACCAAACACAGATCCTGGAAAAGCCAGCGGCTCACATTCAATGCACACTGCTGGCAGCTAGCTTTATTTTAAGCTTCCAAATAACAAGAGTCTCAAAGCTAAGACAAGTCTTTGGGGACCTTGCAGTCCACTCTCCTGTCTCCAGTCATCAAACTAGTCCAGAAAAAGACACATCTTCACATTGCTTAAAAATCTTCTCACCACCACTAGCCCAGGGGTGACACAGTCATCCTACTAGTGACTGATGGTGACCTGGCGGTGCTGGGATTCTGAGGTTCATCTCGCCTCAGCAGGAGGCAGCACAATGATTAATTACTAATGTGTCCGTGGGCTGGGGAAGGGAAGGGACAGTACAATATTTCATGAGCTCATTTTCCTACTCTGCCTCTTCCTTGACTACATATTCCCAGAAGCTGGAGGCTGTACCGTATTTAATTAACTGTGTCTCATAGGCATATGCTACTATGCCCAACTTTTTTACATGGGATCCAAACTCAGGTCCCCGTGTTTGTTCTTGCAGGAACTTGATATGCAGTCATCTCTCCAGCTTTCTACTTTATTTTTTAGCAGAGTTTCTCACTTCACCTGGAACGTATTGATTGGCTAAATCAGCTGGCCACTGAACTCCAGGGATCTGCCTGTCTCTGTCACTCCAGCTTTGGTGTCACAAATGTGTGTTGCCCTGCCCGGCTTTTATAATGGAGAGGGCTAGGAATTCGAACCCAGGCCCCTGCGCTTGTGTACCAAGCACTTTGCCTACTGAGCCAATTTCCCCAGCCCCACAGCGCTGAAGTTTTGAAAGTTCTCCTTGGTGTCTAGATGACATGTACCTTGCCACAGTAGAAGTCTGCAGTTGGTAGAAAAATCTCTTGTGGGGGAAGCCAATTTCCCACTGTGTTTTCATACAACCCCAACTCCTGTCTTCCTCTCTGTCTACTGTGCTCTGAGAGCAAATGGATTCTCACCGGGGAGGTGGAGCTGGAGGAGCCACTGGGTAGGGCCTGTCGAACACGTGCATGTGGTAAGCTGGTGGTGAGTACACAGGCGGAGGCTCTTCCTCAGAGCTATCCGGCTCCAAGGTCCTTTCCAAGATCTAAATCAGAGATAACAAAGAGATACAGAGTAATAATTATTGACAATGATACTAATAATCCATCCTTGAGGTGCAGTGGCATTCATGTGAAATCAAGTACCGGCAAGGACCTGAACTAAGGAGTTTTGTGCACTGCTGCTGGAAGCCGCTCCTTTGCGATGCCAGCCTCATGTATTACCACTAACATGTGGCTCCCAAGGCCCCTCAATTATACTCGGCAAACAGGAGAACACATGGCCCCAAAAGATGGTTCATGGCAGCAGCACCTACCCAGGCAACACTCAAGAGCAGCAAACTGAAGACAGGGTGGAAAAAGACAGTGAGGATGAGGAGCTGGGAACTCCGGGGCATATCAGGTGGGACGCGCATCCCGTGAAACTCCCTGGACTGCGCACTTGAGACCGGTGTCCTCTGTACACCCGTACTAGTCTCAGAAGATGACCTCATTTACACCCACCTTCCGTGTACTTTCCTATCTATTATCTTAACCCTACACCAGTCTAGCGAGTGAAATCCTATTTTACAGATGAGGAAATTCAGGCCGAGGGTGTTTTATTTGTTTTGTGGTGCCTGGGATTGAACCCAGAGCCTCACGCACACGAGGCAAATGCTCTAACACTCAGCTACAGCCCAACTCTTTTTACCTCGAATTTTGAAATAGGTCTCACTAAGTTGCTCCGGCCGGCCTCGAACCTGTTTCATTACTTCTCCTGGGGAGGGGTGAACAAGAGAGGATGCCAACAACAGGCCAAAGAAGTGACCCCACCCGAGTCTAGGAGTTACTCAGAGGGAGTGACACCCTTCTCAACAGTTGTGTCATCACAAGGCCCAGTCCAGGTGGGTAGTGACTCTCTGATAGCTTCATGTAGTCGCCGATTCAGCTACTCTCTTGTGTGCTCCAGCATCTCTGCCCACCTGCAGCTGGAGCAGAAATGCACACAGCTGGTAGAGGAGGGTGTGGTTAAAATGGCAGGTGAGATGGTTCCCTAATGACCCTCCCAGCCTTCTGTGAGGGAACAGGCCCAAGCTTGCTGAAGGGCTGGTGTGAGCTGCCATGTCACTTCAGGGGACAGCAGTCCAGGACACTGACACTTCTGATCCTGCTGAGTGGCTCAGATTACAGGCCTTGGGAGGCTGAGTCTGGTTAGATTGGAATCTTCAACATGGACCATAGCTTCCACAGTCACATCCTTTCCTCAGGGAGCCTACACACTCTGGTGAGATGCTCAGGGTGGACAGCCTAGCTGCCCACTGCCCCTTCTCTTCACCCAGGAGGTAGGAAGCAGGGCAGAGAAAGGTCCAGGATAGGGCGAAGGCTGAGTTCCTAGTATCCGGTGGATATGAATCTGCCCCAGGGCATCTGGGCAGATCCCTGTCACATACCTCGCCCCACCCTGCCCTCTTTCTCAGAGACCAAAGAGCCTGGAAAGGGTTCAGAGGCCCTAACTGACTCAGTCCCTGACTCCCCCAGCCCCACTTGAACTCTTTAGGGTAGAAGTCACCCCTAAAGCTGTGTCTCTGCTTCTGCTGGTCCAAGTTCCACTGACACATCTAAACCCTAGCCCAGCGGTCCCCAGCACAGGGAGGCTGGCAGGGATTTCCTGGTGGTGAGCATGCTCACCGCATTGCAGTGCTCAGCTTGCCAGCCCCAGGCCAAGGAGGCTCCCGCCCTGGAATGTGCACTCTTTCCTGTAAGGCAGAAAGTATTTAAACAGATGCTTCTCCAGAAAAAGAATGAGGCTGCCTGGCTAGCCAGGCCACGGAGCTGCTCACCCCATATTCCACCAGGAAGGAGAGGGACACCAGGGAAAGGTAACAGTGTCAAGAGTGGGGTGCTGACCCCTGGTGATCCCCTGTTACCTCACACAGGAGGTGCTCAGCAAGACCATGCTGCCTCCCTCTGCCTGCATGCCCCGTCCCTGTTTCCCATAGCCGTTGGTTCTGAGGGATAGGGTCCAGGCTAAACTTGGTCTGGTGGGAGGGAGAGGAGAGTTCCGTGGAATTCCTGTGCTCTGTGGCAGGGATGCAGATGGGCCCTGTACCCTTGGGTGCAGCTTTCTGCCTGGAGCAGCAAACCCAGACTCTAGAGAAGAATGTTTCGATACGGGAGAAGGCAGGTGATGGGCAGGCCAGCTCCAGAAAGGAAGATCTGAAGTCCCAGAGAGGGAACCCCAGCACCTTCCTGCCCCCGCTCCATCTTTCTGGCCACAAGGAACTTGTTCTGGCTCTAAAGGTGCTGGAAGTTCTGTGGCCTCTTGGCCTAACTCACTGTGGGTGATGGATGCCTTCCAGGTGTTCCGGAGGCTGTGAGGGAGGCAGGGTCTGGGCCATTTATCTGACAGGAGCTGTTTCTCTGTGACAAGGATACCCCTTGGGCCAGCCCACCATCCATCAGCCTCTGGAGAGGGGTCTTTTTCCAGTCAGCAGTTATTGTCATTCTCACTGCTGCTCATAAATTTTCTGTAGCACTTTGTGCTGGCTCGGGAGCTGCCTGATGATGGGCCCAGGCAGGGCTCCAAAGGTGGGGGCTGGGAGAGAGCCAAGCAGAGCCCAGAAGGGGTTCATCTGGGACAGTGGACCACTTGGGAACATAAGTGCAGCACAGGATGGGTGCCTGGGGCTGAGGAAGCCTTGCAGAGACTTGTGATTCCACGGGCACTGTGGGCAAAGCAGGAACTTTGACCATCAGAACCATCAGGACCACAGAGAGTCAAAGCATGCAGGGAACTTCCCAGCTCACACTAAAAGAATGCCCCTACACGTGAACACATGCACACGTACTCACACCTCCTTTTAACAAGAAGGGTCTGGATTTTCCAGTGTTCTCTCCACTGACTAATCCAGGCAAGTCAAAGGGGTGCACGACCGAGGAAAAGGTGACGGAAAGCTGTGCAAAGACAGCATCTACAGGGCTGGGGAGGTGGCTCAGTCAGTAAAGGGCTTGCCACACAAGCTGGGGAACTTGAGTTCAATACACAGCACCTGTGTAAAAAGCTGAGCTGGTGGCCCACACTAGTAATGCCACTGCAGGGGATGTGGAGACAGTAGTTAGCCAGCCTTGCCTAATTAGAGAGAGGCTGCCCCCAAAACAAGGTAGCTGACTCCTGAGGAATAACACTCCAAATTGATCTCTGGCTTTCTCTCTCTCTCTCTCTCTCTCTCTCTCATGCAGACATAAACACTCATGTCCATACACACACACTAGTAATATCTACTCATTGCAAACCTTCCCCTTGTACCTTCTATATGCCTGGGGAGAACACACACACTGGCACAAGTCATTGTTCCCCACACAGCTTCTCCTCCCTGGAGCCAGAACCTTAGAAGCACTCACCAAGGAAGGAAGAGGGAGGTAGGAGGAGCAAGAAGGCCAGGCCCTGAAGTCAAATCTGATCCAGAGTTCTCATGTAAACAAGGGTGACTGTTCTCATCAAGTTTGAGAAACAGAAAGGATGTATTTCTGAAGCCGCTGAGATGACCAGCACAGTCTGGACTCTGGAAAGAGTGGAATTCAGCGGGGCCTGGTGGAACACACTTGCCATCCCAGCTACTGGAGAAGGGAGTCAGGAGGATGGAAAGTTCAAGGTCTGCCTGGAGTAAGCACAGGACTTGGGGCTGCATAGGGAGATCCTATGTAAATGAGGACTGGACTGGGGTGTGGCTCTGCGATAGAGGGCTCGCTCGGCATTATGAGGCCCTGGGTTCAACCCTCAGTATTGGAAAGAGTGGAACTTGTTCCTGTCTTCTGGTCCTTGTCTCATCCATGGCTCTTGCTCTAACTGCATGCCTCACCCTTTGCCTGAGAACCACATGTTCTTTTAGGCTGGGGGCTGGCTGGGCACAGAGCTCCTGAACGGGGCCTTTGAAAACCAACCACTCTAACTGTGGGCCCCGGTGGTTCACTGTGGCTGGCCATGCCCTTCTCACCTGGGGAAGGTTCTTTGCTTATGTGGATCTTAGGGCTGGAGCCTCACTCTGCAACCATCCCAGCTCCCTGTCTGCAGAGATGCAACTCCACTCTTCTGAGTGGAGGGTATGACCAAGTGTACTGCTGTCTCGCCCTCTCTCTGCGAGAGAGTTCACCTTCTTTCTCTGCTTTTGGTATGGGTCTCTCTGCCTGTGCCTTTCCCACTCTGGTTCAATTCCTGCCTCCAATCCACACTAGCCTGTGAGCTCCAAAAAACACTGTCTGATTTGGCTAGCAAAGGTGACACTCTGCCTGCCATTCGAGTCTTTCTTGAAAAAGATGTCAGGCTTGCAACTGAGGGGTCAGATGTTGGAATGAGGTTCGTGTACCTACATTTTAAACAAGCACCTTAGTCTGGGGTCTTGTCCTATCCCTAGCATACCACTGAGTGGGTGCTTGCTTGCTGGGGGTTTGTTGAATGACTGCATGATTGCTACTCATAATATAGGTCAGTGGCTGATCAAAAGTTTCTCAGAGGGAAAGAGAAGCTTGCTGGTTAGAAGCCAGGCACCCTCAGAGCGGGTTGGAGCTGGGGGTCAGGCGCAACCCAGACCTGCTAAGAGAGACAGGACCACTATTAGTGGTGAATTGTCAGACCCTGCCTCTACCTCTGGTGGGATGCTGTCCTCCGAGTCCGAGCTGTCCTCATAGGTGCTGCCACCACCCGCCTCCAGGTTCATCTGCAACAGCTGGTCGATGGTGGCATCCACTGCACCGCTGTTGGCACGCAGCACACACTCAATGATGTCGTAGTCCATGTTAGGAAACATTGTCTTGAAGTCATCCATGGCCTGGTTGAACTCAAGGCGGCGCACCTGGCGGGCC